CGAGACGTAGTAAATCCCAATACGTTTATTTACTGTACCGCTGCAACCTATAGCAAACCCTATTTACTGCAACCACTGCAATTGCTCCACGAAATGATCTGCAGTCATTCAAAGATCTTCTTGGTTATGGAATAGTTAATAAGTTAATTCCCAGCGCAGCCATAAAGACATTCATGCGACATTTACGGTAGGTACTTGAGTGAAACTCTTGTGTGACTTGCTTTCTTTGATCCAGAAGTTACTGCTACAAGAGAAACGTAAAATGGTACATGCCTCTCCAAAACCAGGTGGAAACACTCATGCACCTAAAGTTGAATTTCTGCATGATAGAACTGTGTCTGAGTTGATCCTGTCAAACTTCGTCTCAACTAAGGCAATGCAAAATGCCTTAGTTGAAACATGGCCAATGCAAAGTGAACTAAATTTGAGGTAAAATTGAAACTGACTTCCTTCAGCAGGAGCCCGACCCTTGGAACAACATTGAACTACACTGCATCAGTTGTCAGGAAGTGCAGAAGCTGAAAATTGTAAATGATGCAGCTGAACGCGGTATTTCTTTGTTTACAAACTTCTACTCCGAGTTGACTAACCAAGAGGTACAAAAACAGTACCTGCTTCAGGTCGTCGAACGTAATTGCCAGCAGTTTCCTGTGTCCAAGACATCAGTTATTATTTATAAACTTTCAAGTGACTAAACCGACTTTACTTTATTACTGTGTAGCGAGTCGATGGCAGTAGTGCACTGTAGCATTTCGCTTTAGTACATTGAATAATATTTAGTATACCTACACTGTTAAGAATTTCATTGAAACTTTTACAGTGATTGATTCAAGCTTCATTTGTAAAACTCAACATTCGTTGAGCAATCAATAAAAGATCAATAAAAGAAGTAGAATTAATTATTAAATTGTGTCAGTTGAACAAATCTGGAACAGGAGACTAGAAATCCGAAACTATTTTTCTGGTTGGCATCCTAGGCCACATGCCCATCATTGATAACGAGACGCATTGACGATTTTGGGGACTAGTGTGCATCTTCGCAATACATACATTGTTAGAAAAATTACCGTTAACGGTATAACCGGCGATTCAGTGGCCGGTCGGCAAGTGAAAAGAAACACCGTGTCACCGTTTTTATTATAATTTAACACTAGAAATCCGTAAAACATCTGATAAAAACGGCGAAAGAGTTTATTTTCACGCAGGGCGACAGGCCACTAGAAGGCCAGTGAGACCCTTTTTCACCGTTTTGAGCGCATTTTCTCATTTATGGAAAAAACGCACTATTGTGCTCGCCATGTCCGTTTGTCTGTCCGTCTGTCTGTCCGTCTGTCTGTCCGTCTGTCCGATACCTCAAGTTTTCGTCGACGAGAAAATGCGCTCTCTGTCACTCACTGCAGTGAGTACTGAGTTATATTTTTTCTAACAGTGTGGGGAATGGTGGCTGCTCGTGAGGCTACGTCATGATTGCCAGTCAATAAGATGAACAATCAAAATGACAATGATTGAGTAATATTTCAATTTTAAATAAAGAAAGTGCGGAGCAGTGACCCCATAATGAAGAAATGTGTCAGACACGCGAAACATTTCAGCTCATGTAGAACGCGTGCAATCTCCCCAAACCCCGGCAAAGTAGACCTCCCCCCACTAGCCTCTAGTCCTCTCCCTATAACCAAGTATTTATACGTATTATCAGAGCCTCATTATATTTTATATAAATATTATTATAGAGCCTCTGGTATATATTATTATATACCAGAATCTCGTCTTATTTTATATAGAATATTATTGTAGAATTTCTGGTATATATATCATTATATACCAGAACATCATTACATTTTATATATATTAGTATAGAACCGCTGGTAAATATGATTACATACCAGAACCTCATATTATTTTATATAGAATATTATTATAGAACCTATGGTAGCCGTAGATATCATTATATACCAGAACCTCTTTCATTTCAACCACTCAGAAGAAACCAGAACCTCTTTCATTTCAACCACTCAGAAGAATGAATGGCTCATATTTTCCAAATAATGACGCACTTTTTACTTGTAGCACAGACGCGTCGTCCTATTGCCGGGCAAAACTGGGAAACTGGGTCAGGATGTCCTGCACAATGGCAAGAGGTGCATCTCTAATTGGACAATGTGTCTCAACTTTTTTGAGTGGAGCATTCATTCCCAACCCATTAATTGCGTTGCATACTTCAATTGGCCTGCTAATACGGCAAATGTAAGAGAATGCCAAAATATCGTATTCATACATCGTATTCATACATCGTATTCATACATCGTATTCATACATCGTATTCATACATCGTATTCATACATCGTATTCATACATCGTAATCATACATCGTATTCATAAATCGTATTCACACATCGCATTCATACATCGTAATCATACATCGTATTCATACATTATATTCACACATCATATTCATACATGGTATTCACACATCATTTTCATACAAGGTATTCACACATCATATTCATACATGGTATTCACACATCATATTCATACATGGTATTCACACACCGCATTCACACATCGTATTCTGATATCAAATTCATCCATGGTATTTACACATCGTATGTACACGTCATTGTATGAATATGACACGTTCTACATCACTCGCACCGAATGCGTGAGGTATGCGGTAGACATCGACCGAGGGGAGAGGGGGTGAGATCCCGAGGGGAGGGGGAGGAGAGGGGGCATGGCTGTAGAGGGGAAAAAATATTTTATGACGGAAAAGTCGGAGGGCAAAAGTGAGGTGATAGAGTAAAGGGAAGAGATTAAAATTAAATAAAGAATACAAAGCGAGATAATGGTAAGGGTTAGAGTAGCAGACTACAGGGGAAGGTAAGATGGCGGGGGTAGAGGGTGGTAGGGGGAGAGGGGGGTGAGGATCTACAGCAGGGATGCGTTGCCATGGCGACGGCGTCGGCGTCTGTAGCTACAACGCTCGCCGCAGCCAAGACAGATATAGCCGGGCCAGCCAAGCAGCCAAGACAGATATAGACGGGCCAGCCAAGCAGCCAAGACAGATATAGACGGGCCAGCCAAGCAGCCAAGACAGATATAGACCTGTCTCTTATACACATCTAGATGTGTATAAGAGACAGGTTATTGACTGTAGCGATAATTTTTGTTCTTTCTTCTTTGCTGTAGCGAATCATGATGAAAATTTAAGGCTTGATAATTAAACACAAATTTAGCAAGCTATACAGGATAATGACGTAACTATGATACAATATTACCATGAAAATGTTCTTCTTTTAAATAAAACAAGTTTCAACTTCATAACGTTCCTAGTTTTTTATTTATTAACAAATTAAAAGGGTTACTTAATTCTGGTTCACCCTGTATATACAGTATTTATTTATATACGATATTGATATATAGAAGATATATATCTATATACCGTTAATATTTAAAAACAGTATATCTCGATATATATTGTATAAATCTATAGACGGTATATACCTATACACGGTATACCATATAAGCAGCTTATACTGAAGATCAGTGTTATTATGCTGAGCTTCCTCCTTGCTTTTCAAGTAAAACAACATACATTAGTTAACTTAAATGAACTTACTTTTGTACAAGTTGGAACATTTTGGTACTAGTCAAGTTTAACTGCGGAAAACAATGCGAACAATTCCGACCTGATCTGATGTGAAGTACAACACGGAACATACAAAAATACAAAATACAAATGAAGTGATCAGTGCAGTGACAGGGAAAAAGGTGAGGAACAATATTTAAAGATATAGAAAATAATATATGAAGATATAATAAATAATATATGAAGATATAATAAAGAATATCATAGAAATGAGCAGTGAATGCTAAAAACTCTAAGAGAAATAAGCGAGACATTGTCCAAATTTTAATGCATTTTTTGCCGTTGACCCATTCTGACCCATTTTGACCCGGAAAAGGGCATACGAGCGCCATGCCCGATTTTTGCTTTTGCTGTGGGTACGAGTCACTATTTTGGACATTTTGCCTCATCATTTCCTGAGTGAGGTTGTCAGCAATGGAACTTTCTTATAAATGAGAGTGAAGAGAATCGCGTTACTGAAACTATTACTAAAACACGTGAAAAACGAATAAAATGATGAATAAAAAATAAAAAAACACCTAAAAAATAAAAAAAAAACATTAAAAATATAAAAATAAAAAAGATAGTAAAACGCGTAAAAAAAGCACGTAAAACACACAAAAAAAAACTTTCATGACTTTGAATTAGAAGGGCAGGCAGTTAACAGTCATTGAGAACGAAAGCCAAGTGAAGTGTAGAAATATAAATTTCATATTAGCCTTAGCATTAATATGATTTAGATATCATTTTTTCATTAATATATATTATCTAAGTTAAGATCTCAACCTGAACCGAGCACGCAACCCCAACCTTCATAGCCCCACTGCGAGAGGCTCATAGCCCCAACCCCTACCTTCGGGATTATTATTAATAATCCCCTAATTACTGATCCCCTAATTACTGATCCCCTAATTACTGATCCCCTAATTACTGATCCCCTAATTACTGATCCCCTAATTACTGATCCCCTAATTATTGATCCCCTAATTACTGATCCCCTAATTACTGATCCCCTAATTATTGANAATGAATACCTTGAAATAAAAAGAATGAATACCTTGAAATAAAAAGAATGAATACCTTGAAATAAAAAGAATGAATACCTTGAAATAAAAAGAATGAATACCTTGAAATAAAAAGAATGAATACCTTGAAATAAAAAGAATGAATACCTTGAAATAAAAAGAATGAATACCTTGAAATAAAAAGAATGAATACCTTGAAATAAAAAGAATGAATACCTTGAAATAAAAAGCATGAATACCTTGAAATAAATGAATACCTTGAAATAAAAAGAATGAATACCTTGAAATAATGATGAATACCTTGAATAAATGAATACCCTGAAATAAAAAGTAATATATTAAATGAATACCTTGGCCTCTTGCTTCCACTGCGCCTCCCGCTGAGTGAAGTGCAGCTGCATCTGCTGCAGCTGCTGTCTGGTGAGCTCTGCGTCACGCTGCAGCTGCTCTGCACCTGCCACCTGACTGCCTGCCACCTGCTGCACCTGCAACACCTGCTCCTCCAGCTCCTGCCGTCTGCAGGTCCAACCAACAACATTAATGCTAAATGATATTTTATGTCTATAATAGTGTAGTATGTCTATTTTATGTCTTTAGTATGTCTATATTATGTCTATTTTATGTCAATAGTATGTCAATAGCAGAATTATGTCTCTAGTATGTCTATACCGTATTATGTCAATACTATTATCATGTCTTTAGTATGCCTATATTATGACGATTTCATGCCTATATTCTGTCTGTAGTATGTCGATTTTATGTATATAGTATGTAAATAGCAGAATTATATCTCTAGTATGTCTATATGTCAATAGTAGTATTATGTCTTTAGTATGTCTATATTATGACGATTTCATGCCTATATTCTGTTTGTAGTATGTAGATTTTATGTCAATAATATTATAGCATGTTTATTTTATGTCCATAGTATGTCTATATACTGCCTATATTATGTCAATAGTGGGTCTATATTATGTATTTTATACGTATATGGTCTATATTATATTCTTATTATTATATGTATGTATTTTGTATATTCTAGGTATAATATATTACGTATTATATGTGCATATATTAGTAGGTCTATATAATACCTAAATATTCACGTTTATTTGATCTGAGCAACAATGAGACAGTCGAGATCTGAGTACAGTCTCAGATCTCGACAGCAACCTGATCTGGGACCATCTTGTTCGTAGTCCAAACTTGTCGAGACGTTTGTCAGTCGAGACGTTTGTCAGTCGAGACGTTTGTCAGTCGAGACGTTTGTCAGTTGCGACGTTTGTCAGTTGCGACGTTTGTCAGTTGAGACGTTTGTCAGTCGAGACGTTTGTCAGTTGAGACGTTTGTCAGTCGAGACGTTTGTCAGTTCCGACGTTTGTCAGTCGAGACGTTTGTCAGTTCCGACGCTTGTCAGTCGAGACGTTTGTTAGTTGCGACGTTTGTCAGTTGCGACGTTTGTCAGTCGAGACGTTTGTCAGTCGAGACGTTTGTCAGTTCCGACGTTTGTCAGTCGAGACGTTTGTTAGTTGAGACGTTTGTCAGTTGAGACGTTTGTTAGTTGAGACGTTTGTCAGTCGAGACGTTCATCAGTCGAGACGTTCATCAGTCGACACGTTCATCAGTCGAGACGTTCATCAGTCGACACGTTCATCAGTCGAGACGTTCATCAGTCGAGATGTTCATCAGTCGAGATGTTCATCAGTCGAGATGTTCATCAGTCGAGACGTTCATCAGTCGAGACGTTCGTGAGTTGAGACATGAACTAGCATGCACTTTATACTTCAGCACAATAATCAATAAATGTGCGCTGACTTTTTTCGTTCAGCTTTGAGAGCGTCGTTGGCGAGCTGCAGCTGGAAGTGGTGCTGCATGTGTGCAGCGTGCAGCTTGTCCTGCAGCTCTGACAGCGCAGAGTTCAGCTCATCACTCTGCTGCTCTGCGCTCACTCTGCGCTCAGCGGCCTCCTCTGCGCGCCTGTCGCTCTCACGCACCCGCGCGCGATACTGGCGCACCTGTAATACGGGCGCGTCATTAATACGGCAATACTGGCGCACCTGTAATACGGGCGCGTCATTAATACGGCAATACTGGCGCACCTGTAATACGGCCACGTCGTTAATACGGCGATACTGGCGCACCTGTAATACGGCCACGTCGTTAATACGGCAATACTGGCGCACCTGTAATACGGTCACGTCGTTAATACGGCGTGACAAGTAATACGGTGACGTCATTAATACGGCCAGTAATACGGTAGCATCCTTAATACGGCATGACAATTAATACGGCAAGGCAAGCAATGCGGTAACTTCATTAATACGGCATGACAAGTGATAGGGCGTGACAAGTAATTCGGTGTCAGTCTTAATACGGCATGATAAGTAATACGGTAACATCATTAATGAAGCATGACTGGTAATACGGTGTCATCCTTAATAGGATAACAATATTTCTACTCTAGCATAATCAATACTGTAAAAAAAATATACTGCAAAGTAAGTAATACGGTAACATCATTAATATTGCATGACAAGTACTATGGCATGATAAGTAATACGGCATACATTTGATAAGGTATAAAAAATAATGTGGTATCATAATTGGTACCGGAATAAACTTCTGAATACGGTAGAAAGATTATTAAACATTATAAAGAACAACAAAAAATAAACAAATTTCCATATCCGTTGCCAAGACGTGCCTCGCAATTACAATAAATTTCTAGATTTTTCAGAACAGCTGTTACTTTCAGAATGAATATTTCATCTCATTTATTCAATTTTATCCGCAATACAGACGAGGGAGCTATTAAAATTCATCAACAAACTTAAAACCAAATGTTAAAATACATCAAAAAAATAAAAACCAATGACCAAATTTGAATTTATTATATTTTTTTCGATGGATACGTGAATTTTAATTATAAATAAAGAAATTTGGTTCGTTTCATAACTTATGTCATTGGACGTTCTGAGTAGTGCTTTCATACACGACATTCGTGTGTATATACACTTCATTCATGTCTATGAGTGCCGCCACCACTCACGACTCACCACTCCTCTTGCCACTCAGCTTGTTGATGAGTGCCACCACCACTCACCACTCACCTTGCCACTCAGCTTGTTGATGAGTGTCGACACCACTCACCACTCACCTTGCCACTCAGCTTGTTGATGAGTGTCGACACCACTCACCACTCATCTTGCCACTCAGCTTGTTGATGAGTGTCGACACCACTCACTACTCATCTTGCCACTCAGCTTGTTGATGAGTGTCACCACCACTCACCACTCACCTTGCCACTCAGCTTGTTGATGAGTGTTGACTGGCTGGCGTTGAGCTGCTGCAGGCGTTGCTCTCGTGAGTGGAGCTCCTGCCACTCGCTGCCCACCTGCAACACGAGGTACCACTCACTCATGAAGAATATAAGCTGCTACTCATATGACAGTTTATTTCTTATATATTATCTATATATTTGTTATATATAGTCTATATATCTATATATTTTAGTCAACAACAGCCTTTTGTTGTGGACCGAAAAAGCCTTAACAAAATTTACGAAATGAAACCATTAAAAAATTCGGCATCGAATACGATAAACATGCTCGCCACACAACAGACACGCACGCCACGCACCAAACACGCACCACGATCACATTTCAGCCACGCACCAGCCGTGTGGCAGGGCCTCGTACTGGTGCGTGACGACACGCACCACGTGACGACACGCACGCACCTGCGTAGCGTGCGGTGGTTGTCATTCGTGAGAATCCCAAATATTTCTACAAATATGCCCGGTCAAAGGCCAAAATCAGAGTCTCAGTGGGGCCTCTGAAAAATAACAGTGTCCTTGTCGGAGACGACCAGGGCATGTGCGAACTTCTGGGAGCGCAGTTTGAAAAAAGTATTCAACGAACCCCGATACTCAAGACACGGGAACGAAATTGGAGTCATTCAAGAACTTCCAGGGGAGCGGGAGCTAATGAACATTGAGTTGGAAACACCGGATCTAGAGAGGAGTATCCAAGAATTATCGACGTACTCGGCTCCCGGGCCAGATGGGGTCCCTGCTGTGTTATTGAAGATATCTGTCGGTGCACTAAAAGTCCCTCTGACTTTGCTTTGGAAAATATCATTGAGAGTAGGAAACGTTCCTAGTGACCTAAAATTAGGGCTAATAACCCTAATCCACAAAGGAGGTGCGAGAGATAAACCCCCAAATTACAGGCCGGATACATTAACATCACACGTAATCAAAGTATTTGAGAAGGTTGTTGCCAGAAGGTTGGTGCAGTACATGGAAGACGCTGACCTTTTCAACAGAAGGCAACACGGTTTTAGACGAAATCGTTCCTGTTTATCTCAGTTACTGGAGCATCACCACCAAATCCTGGCCATGCTGGAGGAGGGGGCCGGGGTGGACGTAGTGTATTTGGACTTCGCGAAAGCGTTTGACAAAGTCGACCATGTAGTGCTCTTCAGAAAATTAAGAATGCTGGGAGTCGGAGGTGAATTGATGGCACGGATCCACAGCTTCCTAACAGAAAGACTACAAGCTGTAGTTGTAGGAGGCTCGAGATCGAGTGAGGCTATGGTGAAGAGTGGAGTACCACATGGGACGGTACTCGGCCCAATCCTCTTCCTTATTCACATCGCCGACATAGATGTGGCTGTGAACCACGCCTCTGCATCGTCATTTGCATACGGTACCAGGATACTAATGACCATAACGAACAGGAGGGACTGCGAGAGGTTGCAAGAAGACCTCTCTGCAATATATGACTGAGCCCTAGTGAACAACATGCAGTTCAACGGACCAAGTTTGAGGTTCTGAGACACAGGTAGCGGAAGAGCTGGTATGGAGCACCGCTACGTAGCACCTGGCAACTCGGAAATCGAAGAGAAGCGACTTGTTCGCGATCTAGGAGTGTTGATGAATACTCAGGTCAATTTTGCTGATCAAGTAACGGCAATAACCACAAGAGGTAGGCGACAGATGGAGTGGATCTGGCGGACGTTCAGAACAAGAGAAGCGGAACCGATGATTTTAACTCTTTAGAGCCCTTGTACAGGGTCATCAATATTTAGTGTTACATTGTTTTTTCAAAATCAATACGTACACTCTCAAAACAATCAAATGTGTCGTATGGAACCATGTCGAATGTTCTCCGGAAGGACCTAAAGTTGTCCCCATTCAAGCATGTCAAAAAACACCAACTGTCTGCTCAAGTTGTTGACAAACGCCTCCAAAGATCCAAGATTCTTCTTTCCAGCATTCATGATGGCAAGTTGCCAAACCTCGATTTCAGTGATGAGAAGATATTCAATGTTGAACACCACTTCAACTCCCAAAATGATCGAATTTGGTCGAAGAATGGGACGAAGGATCCCGTGTGGTGACTAGGAAGCAATGCCAGGCCTCAGTGATGGTCTGGGCAGCCGTAACAGAGTCTTCAAGGAGTCCCCTCTTTTTTGTTGACAAAGGGGTGAAATTGAATCAGAAGAACTATCGAGATGCCATCCTTGTTGGTGCATTGTTGCGCTGGGCACGAAAGCACTTCAAAAAACGCCCTTGGTCGTTCCAGCAGGACTCTGCACCATCCCATGGGGCCAAATCGACTCAGGAGCGCCTGTCCGAGAATGTTCCCACTTCATTACCAAAGATGAATGGCCCTCATCGTCACCCGATCTGAATCCTCTGGATTTTGGGATCTGGTCATACCTTGAGAGCAAGGTCTCGACCGTTCACCATAGCAGTTTGGACGCCCTAGAGGTCAAACTGCTGAAGAGTGGGCCAAAATCCCGCAGAGTGTCATTCGTGACTCATGTAAGGCTTTCTCTAAGCGTCTACAACTCGTTATTGATGCAGATGGTGGATATATTGAATGACATTGTGGGAATTGTATCTCTGAACCTCTGCCTACATAAATACATTTTCAAACATACACAATTGTGTTTCATTTCATAGTTCTAACCACTCAAAGTTGTAACGCTAAATATTGATGACCCTGTGATACCAATTCTTGAATACTGCTGCCAGCTCTAGACCCCGTTCACACTCGGCGCAATACGGCAACTGGAAGGTGTCCAGCAAACCTTCACTTTCAGGATCAGAGGGTTGGAAAAGTTGAACTACAGGGAGAGGTTACAGCGACTGAGTCTGTACTCACTGCAGAGGAGACGGGAGAGGTATGTCATTCTGTACACATGGAAGATGATAACCGGAATGGTGCCAAACTTCGAGAGCGAGATCTTCAAGGACACACCATAACGAAAGAAGGGAGAGACTGTGCAAGATTCCCCCATTACTTAACAAATCCGCTGTCAGATTTCAATCCCTGCGAGAAGGATCACTCTCCGTGGCAGGACCAAGGCTGTTCAACGCCCTACCAAGGGATCTAAGAGAGGAGGAGTTCACCCTGGAGACCTTCAAAAGACAACTGGACGTGTTCCTGAGCACAATCCCAGATCGACCTCCCCTGCAACACTACCAGCGGCGAGAAGCAAGCAACAGCATCGTGCATCAGGTGGCCCAAATGAGGGCGGATGAACTATAATCAGAGGCGGCGATCCATCGTGGCCTGGGACTGCTGTGTCNGTACTGGTGCGTGGCGGCGCACACCACACACGCACGCCACGCACCACACACGCACGCCACGCACCTGCCGCGTGAGGGCCTCGTACTGGTGCGTAGCGGCGCTCTGCTCGGCCCGGGACGCGGCCACGAGGCCCTCCAGCCGCCCCACCTCCTGCTGCAGGTGCCGCGTCTCCTCCTGCAACACAGAATATCTATCAATAACTTTCCCTTCAATAAAATAACTGTTAATATAATCTTTACCTACTTTAATTTATATAATTCAATATATATAATCTTTAACAACTTTACCGATTTTAATTTCTTTAATATAAAAATTGTGACACGTGTTACTGCCTGCAACGGCAAGTTGCTAAGTGGGTCATCCAGACCCACCCTTTTCTCTCAGTCTAAGCTTCCTGCAGTGACAGAGTTGTCAGAGTAGATTGTAAGCTGAGTAACTCAGGATTAAAAAGTGCTCTGAAATGAGGAGCAGAGTGCATCAATCAAATGCAGAGTCTCACCTCCAGAGTGCAGAGTCTCACCTCCAGAGTGCAGAGTCTCACCTCCAGAGTGCAGCTGTCTCTTATACACATCTAGATGTGTATAAGAGACAGGCTCAGAGTCGTCCAGAGTGCAGAGTCTCACCGCCAGAGTGCAGAGTCTCACCGCCAGAGTGCAGAGTCTCACCGCCAGAGTGCAGAGTCTGTCTCTTATACACATCTAGATGTGTATAAGAGACAGCATCAGACCATCGTATTAATGATGGTCACGGCAACCATCAGACCATCGTATTAATGATGGTCACGGCAACCATCAGACCATCGTATTAATGATGGTCACGGCAACCATCAAACCATCGTATTAATGATGGTCACAGCAACCATCAGACCATCGTATTAATGATGGTCACGGCAATCATCAGACCATCGTATTAATGATGGTCACGGCAATCATCAGACCATCGTATTAATGATGGTCACGGCAATCATCAGACCATCGTATTAATGTTAGTCAAGCCGACATTGTTTACTGTCGAAACCTTTTATCGGGCCATAGTTTTACTAATGCCTTTTATTGTTTTAACACGTTGACTCCGATTGCTTCATCTTGTAATATTTGTTTCATTTTTTGTATTATTATGAAACAGGGTTGCCAGACGGTATTTTTCCGGACAAATTCCGCAATTTAGTTTTTTTCAATTGCGTTGGCTGGCTAAAATTTATGATAGGGCTACTTCCTAATTAAATTTAAAAGCTGCAAAGAAAGAAAAATGGAATTTTACACCGGAACCTACAAATATACTAGTATATATTAAGTTATAGGCCTTTTTGGCCTTTTTTGTTCGCGGACTTGGCCGTTTTTTAGGCCATCTGGCTACCCTGAATTATGTACAACTAAGTGTCGGAGAAATACGCTTCGTGGCCAATATCTATACATTTATTGTTGTTAATAGCACATTCAATAAACTCACCAGTAAAAATAGAGCTTCAAAAGTACACCCATTCATGAAGATATAAATTTTATACATAATCCGTAGTAACGGAGTGTACAAAATCCTATTAGCTAACAAAAAATATATATTGTGCCGGACATGCTTATTAATGAGAACGTCTCACAGACCGAACACATGTCTTCTACTTAGAAGATCTCTCCAGAGCAAACCTAATGAGCTAATGAGCAGATACTAATGAGACAAGCGACCCCCAGCCCCTAACCCCCCGGCACCTGGTGAGGGGGCCATGGCGGGGGCGCACGTCCCCCAGGGAGCGCGTCCTGAACACTGCGGCGCTGGGGGAGGACAAAGAGGCAGGGGAGGGGGCGGCGTCCCCCCTACGGCGGTGGGGGGACATGGACGACACCCTGGGGGGGAGGAGGGAGGAGAGAGGGGGTGAGGGTGAGGGAGGTGAGGGTAAGGGGGGTGAAGGTCTCCAGCACTTCAGATTTTAGGAATGATTTACGATTAAAACCTAATTTTAAATCCTATTCATGATACATACGTATAGAATAGGAGAAAAATTTTACGTTCTCGTTATTAAAGAAAATAAATTCAGTAGAAACCAATTTAAAAATTAAGTTGAGTAAGAGAAAAAATTAGTATTTTAACAGAAAAAAATAGTTAAAATACCAAGATTTTTTACAGCTTACAAATAAAAATAATGAACTCAAATAATCTATTTGATGGAAATATATATAATAGAGGGGGGACTGCATAATAACATTATGGACACAGGCATGAGGTTAGACCAAAAGGGAAGAATGAATTAAGAAGTGAAGACTATCCCTAAAAATATATAATATAGGTACAGGTACGAAACATTGTATGAAACACATAAAAAATACGTGGAAATATATTAAAAATATAACTCAGTACTCACTGCAGTGAGTGACAGAGAGCGCATTTTCACGTCGACGAAAACGTGAAGTCACGGACGGACAGACGGACGGACGGATGGACGGACGGACGGACGGACATGACGAGCACAATAGCGCCTTTTTTCATAAATGAGAAAATGCGCTAAAAATCACGATGTATATGTCGGCGGAGAATAGAACTGCTGAGGAAGATATATGACAAATTAACTAACCTTCTGTTGTAACCCCGGTGGGGTGTGGGGTCTAGCCCCCGGTGGGGTGAGGGGTCTAGCAGGGATGAGGTAAGGATGCTACGGAGTCGGGATGACACGGGTTCACCATCACGCACCAGCAGCGACAGATCGCCATCACCACCACGCACCACAGAGCTTAAGTGCTGTAAAAGCAACTTGTTATTAGAGTGATTATTATCCTTATTGTTATGTAGTGCGGTTATTAATAGTTCTTTCTTTTAGCAGTTTCACATATTATTAGCTACGTATACCCCTTAAGTAGCATTTACACCTTTTATAGGAGCGTCACCTTTAACTACTTACAACTGTTATAGCAGACACTCCTGATACTTGTTACACCTGCTAGTATACGATACATAATCATGATAACATTAAAATAATGTTTAACAAGCTATACGTATATTTTGTACGTCTTGCAATATAGCTAGAAATGATGGCACGGAACGTACACAGTATCAATAATATGTATAAATAACTATAGCAAAGTTGGCACATTGTTAAATAAGTTTGCTGTACTTTGTCGAGCACGCGTCAAACTACATGATTCAATTCACGATCATTAATAATTTACCTAATAATCCCTTGAGAAGTAAATCTATCCGGAAATACGCACAAAAAAACTATAATAACGTCCAGTTGGGCGCCACGTGTTGTGACGGCAGAGAGCGACGCGTGTGCTCACTGGACGCCGGCGCACGCGGCACTGAGTGCCAGGTCATCTCGCTAAAGATTTTACGAAGAAATATGACCTGAGACAAGAGATCAGCGCGACGCCGGTAATGGCGTCGTTGCCACGGCAACACGACTAGCGTCGTCCGCGATGTCAATTTGAGATTTAATAGGCTTGTCAAGTTTGGGATGAATGAGTCAGGGGGAAAAATTGATTTGTGTGGTCGATCAATAAGTTTGGATTTGATGTGAATTAAAAACTTGGACTGATACTGATCCGGATTTGTGATCTAAGATGGAACGTTTATTGCTGACGCTACATATATAAAGGACTTTGAAATATTATACGAATATATTGAAAGTCTTTGCAGATGGTGAGGCAACGAACATCAGTAAGAATTACAACCAAACAGCATTAATGAATTGTCGATTAATTCGTTTCCGTAACCCAAAGTGAATTCACTGTTGCGAATTAAAAAATTTTTCATGAGCTCGACGCAACGTAGCAATAAGCGTACACTTCAATAAACAATCATAATACTCGTATATACACTTCTGAATTATATAAGCAAAACTTTTGAATTATAAAAGCAATACTTCTTAATTATATAAGCAAAATTTCTGAATTATATAAGCGACATTTTCGAACTATATAAGCAAATTTCAAAGCAGCTACGAAGCACGGAGTATCTTGAACTTTCCTCCGTGCAGGTTATATGAAGCGCAATACAATCACTGCTGCTACCATTCACATGCTGCTCACTTCCCAACTTCTGTACATAATAATTTTGATATTTATTTGTATTTGTTTCTTATTGCGTCAAGTTCTGTACATCATAATTTCGACATTTATATGTATCTGTCGTGTATTGCGTAAAGTTCTGTACATAATAATATCGTAATATATTTGTATTTATTGCCTATTACGTCAAGTTCTGTACATCAAAATTTCGACATTTATTTGTATTTGTTATGTATTGCGTCAATTTTTCGTCCCGCTTCAAGGAACTACTGCAAAAAAATGAGGAAACTTCGTCCATATATCGATCCATTTGTGGCGCATTTTCTCATTTATGAAAAAAAACGCTGTTGTACTCGTCATGTCCGTCCGTCTGTCTGTCCGTCCGTGACTTCACGTTTTCGTCGACGAGAACTCTGTCACTCACTGCAGTGATTACAGGGTTATATTTTTTGCTCTTGAGTGAGTCATCCTAATCTACAGTTTGACACGCCGTATAAGCAAGTGCTTCGTCCGCTCTTTGCTTGAGCTGCGAATAGGTTATAAGTGTGTGATTATTTTGACAGTTTGACCCAATTATTTACATGAGTGTGGTTGGGGCTTGACGCGTGCAATGCGTGCATGTCAGGGCGCTGTGGCCATCGTAGGATAAGGCAGGACGAGCGGAGCATGCGCGTCATTACGATGCATTATCCGTGCCAGGCTTAGCTCTTCATAACAAACTTACATGTACTGCGGCACAAATGTAATTATATCAGTACAATATACCGAGTAAACAGAGAAGGTTCGTAACTAACATGTACTGCGGCACAAATGTGATTATCTTAGTACAATATACCTGTCTCTTATACACATCTAGATGTGTATAAGAGACAGCCCAATCTTAATGTGAACGTAACGTTACAAAANGGTGCAGGGATGTATGGCAACACTCGCTAGAGCAGGGAGGTATGGCAACACGCGGTGGTGCAGGGATGTATGGCAACACTCGCTTGAGCAGGGAGGTATGGCAACAGGCGGTGGGGCAGGGAGGTATGGCAACACTCGCTAGAGCAGGAAGGTATGGCAACACTCGCTTGAGCAGGGAGGTATGGCAACACTCGCTTGGGCAGGGAGGTATGGCAACACTCGCTAGAGCATGAAGGTATGGCAACACCTCAGAGGAATGGCCCGTCAATCTGCCCTATTGAGTCCCAAAGTCAATACCGCAACAAAAGAAGCTTTGCTGCTCGGGGTATTGCCTAGCCGGAGCCACAGAGCAACACCATCATGAGAACCAAAGGCGGGGTATCGGTGGCCGGCGTAATGATATTCAGTGGCCGTAAATACGAAGTCAATCACTTAATTACTTTAAAGTAGCAGCCACTGAAAGCGCAGTGATGGTTAGGTAACAATCGTCCACACGCTAATCCAGCGCCAAGTCTTTCCAGTCTCGGGGAATGTATAAGATTAAATTGTAATCTCTAGTTTAACTTCTATGAATTAAAAATGCAAATCTACTTTTCGTGACTATTTAAAATTAAAAGAATGACGATGGAAATGTAATACCTTGGCATCTCTGCACAACTGGGCAGCTATATCCTTATCAGAGACCACGCCCTTCTGCAGCAGAGCCTGTTTGCTCTGCAGGACCACCGACTGATGACCTGAAGGCTTCGTTATCACCTTCTTCAGGAGGGCGTCCGTGGAGGAGCGTATGGCTTCAATCAGAAGACTATTACCTTTGATGCCTCGTCTTAGTTTCTTGGGGGACGCGTAACTACAGTTTCCTTCGCCTCCATCTTCCGCGCAACGCTTCAGCTTCTCGAATTTGTGGCGCATCTGCCGAACTCCTGGTGTTGTTCCAACAATATTTTGGTAGTGGCATTTCTTGCCGACTTCGGGTAAGTCAATCGAAGAAATTTTCTTTGGCGTCGATCTCTCGGAGATGCTCGAGAATTTCGGCTCACGTGTAGGATTATTCGACATTTCAGCTGAATTATGGGAGGCGATAAGAACTTCTGATGCATCATAAGGAGTTGTAGGCGTAGGAATCAAACTCTTAGTCTCTGTAGCGGTTTTTAATGAATATTCTTTCATTGCTGGAAGCCGTGACAATTTTTTCGTCCCATGTGATGGGCAGTAAATGGAGACTATATCAGATGACTTGCAGAACAAAGGGGTTCTATTAATCCTTTCGTTTTTTAATAACCCTGTTGATTTTACAGGATAAGTTTTCATTGCGGACTTTTGGCATGTTAGAGATTCTTCAGATACACAAGGCAGGGTCGAACTGGAACTTGGCGAGCATACATCAACTTTAAATTCATTACCAAACGGAACAGCGTAACCTGCCTTTCCAACATCCAGGTTTTCCAGAGAGGCGTCAGAGCCAATAAAATGGGGCAGAGAACATGAAATAAGCTCGCTCAACTCTTCGGACACTGCTTTCGGAAAAACATCTAGAGTTTCTTCTAACATCAAACCCATTTCTTCTTCGTGAATACAAATTTTATTCAATTCTTTCTCAGCTGGGTTTTCAGCCGTTATGATTCTAAATGAGTCAAAAGATGGTGCAAGTTCCATGTTTGACGTTGGGTTATTCTCGTCAGTAGAATCGTGCTTCGGCGTAACATCAGTTCCGGAATGCCAACACGATCCTGGTAGCGTATTACGCAGATTTATTCCGTGACTAGCGATGCTAGAGCCTACAATCGATTTTGGTTGAAGCTTGGAGATAGAATTAGCAGGTATCGAAATAATGGTTGCTGCATATGGTCTTGATTGAATCGCATTGAGAGACTCGCGAGATCCGGAATCCGTCTCGGGAATTGACAATCTTGGTTGAGTCTCAGTGTGAGACTCACCAGATCCTGAATTTATCGCGGGAGTTGATGGTTTTGGTTGAATCTCAGTGTGAGACTCACCAGATCCTGAATTTATCGCGGGAGTTGATAGTCTTGGTTGAATCTCAGTGTGAGACTCACCAGATCCTGAATTTATCGCGGGAATTGATGATCTTGGTTGAGCCTTACTTGGATATTCGTCGGGTATCGCTGATATGGCTGTAGAGGCTAACGTGGGTCGAATTTCAGTGAGAAATTCAGAAGATCGTGAATTAGCGCGGCGAGGCGATGAGCCTGATTGAAAATCATTTAAAAATTGGCCTGAAATAGAGATATTGAAGGGAGGAGGTGATATCGCTTTAATTTCATTGAGAGATTTTCGCAATCCTGGATTAAAATGAAGAGCAGAAGATACAGTCTGAATCTCACGAAGAGAATCGCCTGATCTAGGAACATGGGCGGGAGTGGGCGATCTCGGCAGAATCTCATGCAGAGACCCGCGTGATCTGGAAATATAAGCAAATGGTGGCAATCTCGGCTGAATATCGTCAAAAGATTCGCCTAATTTGTATGTTCTGTTTCGTGTAGATTCAGTTGCTTGAATGTTAGAACGAAAATTCAAGGGCTCGAATGATTCTTGTTGGTTGATTGTTGCATTATGATTGAGGGAAGGTTCGGCAGATGCGCTGGAATCGGGAGCCTTGGAACATTTAAATGCTGAAGAATTATCCTGGAGCAACTTGAAAGGACTACGTTTAGCTTTTATCTTCGATTCATACTCAGTTTTGATCATGTTTCTTTGACCCGCAACAGAAAAATTTTCGGAATTCTTCCGGAGTCTTTTCTCTAAGAGTTTACGTCTGCTCAGAAAACTTTGTCGAGAGCGGCTGTTGAATGGCTGGTGAGGTTCGAAGGAATCGGAGTAGTGATCACTTGAACATGACATTACTAAATTCTCAACAAGTCCCTCATACTTGAGAGAATTATAATCTTCACATCTTGACAAGGATGATTCAAAGTCATCCTCCGACAGAAACTGATGGGGCTCGTTTGAAAAATGATGCGTTTTATTGATAATTGAACAAATAGGCCCTAATCCGGAGTGAACAGTTACAGTAGAGGAAGCACTAACTTCAGCTCGTATCTCAACTTCGTGTGATTCTACGGCATAATTGCTATGGTTAGCAAATTCTGCCTTAATGGTTTTTGCTGGGACTGAGAATTTAGGGGCGGAGTTTGACCTGTCATTTAATACCTCCGCAGATATTGGCTCTTGCTGCCAGTAATTCCCAGCTTGAAGCGATTCGCGAGGGTTGGTCACGCTGATATCACAATCATTTGGAACGAAGGCGTCATGCTTTTTGCATGGTTGACAAACCTTTAGGGAGAGTGGATTAAATTTAGAAAAGGGTCGCGGAGGAGGTGCAAGAGGTATTGCTGTAGTGGATAAATCTCCGGAAGTAGAGAAAGGAAAGTGAGGTTGTTTGCCCTGCAAGGTCTCGGTATAAGAGTGGGAGAGATCGATGGACACCTCTGAAGAAGCTTCATCGATATCTAGGCTAACAGATGCCCTGGTGGAGGAGGGAACAGCGACTCGGTCTATCGAGGTGGATGCTTTAGAGTGAGCTGAGCCAAGGAAAGCGAATGAAGATTCAGAAGAACGAATATCCAACAGAACTTCAGCGCCATGAACGATGGATGAAGTCGAGGATTGGCGAGAAAGTTTAGATGATGTCGAAGAAATTAATGAATCAGCCGAAGCATTCAATGGAGTGTTGGAGGAACCATAAGCAGTTGGAAAAACTCTTGTTTGTGATTGGACAAGTTCATCAGAGGTAGGTCTTGTTTTAGAGCAATAAACCGGAAGATCTATGGTAGTTATCACAGAAATCTTATCAGCATTCGAAAAATTATTACGAGCAGTAGATGGTTCAATACATTCAAGATTCCTTATCAGAGAAAACCCTGAAAATCTTTGCGCTTCAATTTCAGACTCGTATCTTGAGAGGAGGGACATCGACGAAAACATGACGCTGTATGCGTCAAAATGCCGGTGCCTTACAAACGAATCGATGAGATACGCGGCATATCAATCGAAGGTAAAGGTGGGTCACGATACACAGAGAAAACGGTTCTTTTCAAATTTAATCAACAGAAGAACGCTGGTCAGAATTCCATTTGAATCAGGAATTGAAACGGCTTCACTAGCTGAGCAATGAGTGACCGAACATCTCGACTGGGCAGCGTACCCCCCAACACCGGCTGGTATAAGAATGAGGCACATGGTTGGTAGCATTGTTTTCTGCAGTCATTTCACTTATTTTACGATGTCTAAGAGTGGGTGGGGAATATTAGGGCTTGCATGTTGTTTGAATTTTGATTGCACGAACTCTCAAATTTCAACTCTAGTAAATCACAAAAACGATGAAAAGATCAGTTTCTTCTTCTTTTTTATTTTAATAAAATGTTAATTCGATTAGATACACACATTATTGGATAGTTTGAGATTACATTATCATATCATCGCACTAAAGCTAATTTTAGTTCTAGCTACTAACTTGTTTTCACACAAAGTCTCATTTTTGCCATAATCTGCTCGAAATGTAGCTTAATTGTAGGGTTCAATTTAACCTGACTACTAATTATTTTCTGTTAGTTTCGCACAAGTTAAATAGCAAAGAACTGATTTGCATTCATCAGAAGAATAATTAAAAAAATAACCAATAATATACTACGTTGAACAGAAGAAACTGGTCACCTGATGAGAGATTTCGGTATCTTTAGTTAAGGTCATAAATATGATGTAGGGAAGTACCACCTACGTTTTAAAATGACAGAAACAGAAATAAAGCAAGAGCTCTACATCACAGAAATTATTAATGACCTTAAAATACTACGAGTAGCACAGCATACAAAATGTGCGAATGTAGTCCTTGGGTCTATGTCTATAGTCCTTGGGTCTATGTCTATAGTCCTTGGGTCTATGTCTATAGTCCTTGGGTATATGTCTATAGCCCTTGGGTATATGTAACTGTATTTCAGTTACAGCTTTTCTCCAATGGATCAGTATAAGAAAGGATTGCATGGGGCAATCATTTGCCCGGGTCGCTAGTTGCATAACTAATGAGAATTGAGAGCTAATAGATGAGATTTAATTAGGAGAAGAAAATATCAGCCATGGAGATATAGAATTTTGGTTAACGGGGAAGAGATAAAATTAGTTGAAAATTCATGATAATAGACAAAATAATTAAAACCTCCTTTAACATTTAAGGCGGGTTTGGGCTGGGAATTCAGGATGAGCGTAAAGCAATCGCTCTGAGCGAGAGGAACGAATTTTTCGTCAATAACAATCCGATATTTATTACTGAAAACTGGTATTTAATGTTGCCGATAACAATGTGGTATTTTATGCTAAAAAGGTAGAAATCAACAGACTTTATAAAAAAACATACACAGCAGAAACATGACAATTTAAGATAATAAACAACGAATATAAATATTTAAAACCATCGCCATAATCGAAAGCGTCATGAAAAAATGTAAGCAATCAATAAAGAAATGTATGGTCATGAGATTGATTCTAAAGAATCAAGTGAAATACAGCATACAAATAACATTCTGAACCAGAATATTCCAGTCTCAGAGTATTCAGGAACAAAAGCACTGGATGACCGAGAGTTGAGCTATAGCCCGGAGAGCGGATCAAAGCCTGCCTTCCGTAACGCAGACGTCGCCGTGACTGACAGCGTTAGCGGTAGAGCCGCGCTAAGTCTGCGTTATGGCACTTGACTGGCACTGTCATGCACAGGAGCAGGTCAATGTAATGGCAGTAAGGGAAATAGTTGGCCATTGTGTTATATGTTTGCCATTGTGCTAAATGCTGGCCATTGTGCTAAAAACATGTTGGCTATTGTGCTAAATTCAAATATATGTTGGCCATTGTGTTGTTGGCCGTTGTGTTAAATTCAAGAATGGAACTCTCAAATGTAAATGCTAAGGATGGGCTTACGAACGTGAAACTAGGTGAAACACCTTTAATAAATGCTGTAATTATTATCATCTTACTAACAGAATAATTCATCAAACTGAGACAGTCATTGCGGGGCTGTAACTTTGCTGCTCGTGTCTATGTCGTAGCAA